CCTACTTGTAACGGCAGTAACAGAAGATACAGATGGTCGTCGTCGGAGCCTCACCTTTTAGTCCAGCCGGGGGCCTGCGGATTTACTCTTCCCGTCGACTGGGCAGACCTCGTCGGAGATTCATCACGCCTACGCTGGCCACCTACCTGAGCGTCGGTGAGCACACCATCGCACACCATCTCAGTTATCCCGGAATCAACATCCCCCTGGCGAATATCCTGATTAGCAGCCCCATTATCCAGAAGGTACATCAGCGGGACTGGATCTATGTGGTCAAGGTTGTCGGCAAACTCCTCCCACACGGGGAACCTGCGTACAGAACGGCGAATCAGTCGCATAAGATTAGTTATCTTTCACAGATCAAGCTTATCCTATCGTCGTTCCTAGGAGAAAAACGGACCAGATCTGCACGGGAACGAACCTGTCGACCGCATCCAGTAGGAATTCCATTCCCTCGATGTCCATCCGCACCCAGCTTCACGGTCAAGCACCGTCGACGGCACCGGCGCCGCCACCCGCGACAGCAGCCTCGGCGAACTCTCCTCCTTTTTCTCTTCGACGGCGGCGAGGGGCCTCTAGAATGAACCACCGAAAGGGATATCTCTTTCCTATTTTTTCATAACACACGGACGGGGTGCGGCCGACAAGCGGCTCAGACAGCGTAATCCATCTTGCACTCCTTATCTGATCCAGGCCCAGACTAGAAAAGCTAACGTCATGGTCCACGGCCTACTCAGGATTGCACGTTCCTGGTCCACGGCCCATTCCGACTACCCGCGACGTCCGTTCGACCGCGGGGGGCCAGCCCCACTTACGGTGCACTGTTCCATACTGTATTGGGAGGTTTTCTCCATTTACCAACGCTCGCACAGGACAGGCCAGCTGGCTTTCTCCAAATCGCAAGACTGCAACGGACGACGCAGATTATGGGTGCAGCTGAGCCCGAGCTCCAAATCGACGCACTCGTTTATATGGAACAATATTCCACATTCTTGCATTCATATGTGCTGCATTTACCTTTGAATATCATTCAAAGCTGTACGCACCACATGATTTGGTGCGCATCTACCCAGTTACTAATGCCTTTGCTTCCTTGCACTTGTCAACAACTGTTCCTAGTTCTTTTTATGTGTTGTAAGTGTATATGCTGGTATTGTTATACCCTATAGAATTACTGCTATTATTATGATTGTCCATTTGGGAGGATATATATACTCGGTTAGATATGTGTATATAGGGCTTTAAACACCATGGCTAGGTTAAGATTCAAAAAAAAAACCCCACCATGGCTAGGTTACATAGTTAGTTTGTATCATCTAGTTTATCTCACCATCTGAGAAGAAAATATCTCAATCCATCTCTTCTGGCAACCTTCTCTTCAAATCAGAGATGACATATTACACCAAATGATTTTGTCACCTGCTTGACTTCATACTATCCTCGTCACCGTCCCTTTTTATTGTGACTACTTTTATTAACCTTGCACTGAGTGGTAGGCTACATGCTCTATCGGGAGTAGGACTCCCTCCTTCCTTGTTGAAGTAGGAGAAGGGGGAAAGAGGGGGAGAGGAGGAAGGAAAAGGGGGCCGCACCCCTTGTCCAATTCGGACCAGAGGGGGGCTGCGCGCCTCCTTCCTTTCGGCCTCTCTCCTCTATTCCCGTATGGCCCAATAACGCCCATATACTCCCCGGCGAATTCCCGTAACTCTCCGGTACTCCGAAAAATACCCGAATCACTCGGAACCTTTCCGAACTCCGAATATAGTCATCCAATATATCGATCTTTACGTCTCAACCATTTCGAGACTCCTCGTCATGTTCCTGATCTCATCTGGGACTCCGAACTCCTTCGGTACATCAAAACTCATAAACTCATAATATAACTGTCATCGAAACCTTAAGCGTGCGGACCCTACGGGTTCGAGAACCATGTAGACATGACCTAGAACTATTCTTGGTCAATAACCAATAGCGGAACCTGGATGCTCATATTGGCTCCTACATATTCTACGAAGATCTTTATCGGTCAAACCGCATAACAACATACGTTGTTCCCTTTGTCATCGGTATGTTACTTGCCCGAGATTCGATCGTCGGTATCCAATACCTAGTTCAATCTCGTTACCGACAAGTCTCTTTACTCGTTACATAATGTATCATCCCGCAACTAACTCATTAGTCACATTGCTTGCAAGGCTTATAGTGATGTGCATTACCTAGAGGGCCCAGAGATACCTCTCCGACAATCGGAGTGACAAAACCTAATCTTGAAATACGCCAACCCAACATGTACCTTTGGAGACACCTGTAGTACTCCTTTATAATCACCAAGTTATGTTGTGACGTTTGGTAGCACCCAAAGTGTTCCTCCGGTAAACGGGAGTTGCATAATCTCATAGTTACAGGAACATGTATAAGTCATGAAGAAAGCAATAGCAATATACTAAACGATCAAGTGCTAGGCTAACGGAATGGGTCATGTCAATCACATCATTCTCCTAATGATGTGATCCCATTAATCAAATGACAACACATGTCTATGGTTAGGAAACATAACCATCTTTGATTAATGAGCTAGTCAAGTAAAGGCATACTAGTGACTATATGTTTGTCTATGTATTCACACATGTATCACGTTTCTGGTTAATACAATTCTAGCATGAATAATAAACATTTATCATGAAATAAGGAAATAAATAATAACTTTATTATTGCCTCTAGGGCATATTTGCTTCATCTTGAAGGTACAGCTTCAGAGCCAACATTCAGGTAGGACGTGTTTGCTTGTTCGGGTGAGCGGAGCCTGGCTGAGGGGAGGAAGCTGAGTAGAGACAGTTTGAGCGAATACAGGGTAAAAAACGACGTTTGCATGTTGTTTGGTTGTCTGTATGAGGGGTCTTGTCACCGAAAACTAATTTCGACCTGGTGTTTGGTTGTCTGGCTCGCATGGTGATTAGCAATTAACAACTACACTTAAACTAGAGCATCTCAGCCAACACCACGGCCTCCTTGGCGAGGGACACATCCGCCTCTCACACGCGTTGGAGGATCTCCAGCTTTGCTGTACGCTTCTTCCACAACACCATCGCGCTTGCTGTCATCGGCTTCTCGTTCGCAGCCGCAACGCCCCGAGCGCTAGCTAGCCCCACAAGACGGAGGGAAAGGGGATTCATGGCGCGTCGTCCGATTACGCGGCAGTCAACGGTGCCGCCGGGGCGGTGAGCGAAGGAGGCGAAGTAGGGGTGGATGCCGGTGCCACTGGGGCGGCGAGTAGAGGAGGCAAAGCGAGGCTGTGCCTTTGGCTGAGTTGGGAGAACAGGAAGATAAGGTGCTTGAAGGGGAGGGAGAGATTAAGAGGTGATTATGTGTAAACACATACAACCAGAGCCACCCATGTTTTTAACACGGTACAGACGGAAGCGCTCATACATACGCGCATACACTCACCCCTATAAACGCACACACACACACACACCCTACCCCTATGAGCACCTTCGAGAGACCGAGCCGGCATATCATCTTGAGATTTACGAAGTCACCTTAGGCGCCTCGTCGTCGACAGGAACGTCTCCTCCCACTGAAAGTGT